AAAAGAAAAGAAAAGAAAAGAAAAGAAAAGAAAAGAAAAGAAAAGAAAAGAAAAGAAAAGAGAACACAATCAGGAGGATTGATCTCTTGCAAACCTGACACACAAATACATTACTATTAAACCTTCCCTTCCTTTGTTTATCCCCAAGACCTCATGTTAATGTCAATATCACAGTATAAAACACTTTATACTAAATCACTTTAAAAGTTAAATATAAATCACTTTAAAAGTTCCACAGCTTTACATTTTTGAACACTTCGAAAGACCAAGTTCTCTTTAAAAACACAATGTCTCTTTAAAAGTCCAAAGTCTCTCAACTGTGGGCACCTGTGAAATCAAAACAAGTTAAATATTTTCTTACTCCAAGAGTGAAAAATCAGGACACAGTTACATTCAAATCAAAGTAAAGCCCAGACCAGCAGCGTAAAGCTCAGTGACAGATGTCTCGGACTCGTGATCTTGTGGGCTCTAAAGGGAGCGGGCAACTCCAACCCTCTGGCTCTGCCATCCAAGCACACGTAGTCGTAGTGCATTTCACACTCTCAGGCTGACTGCATTCCACAGCTGCTGTTGCCCTTGATGGCCACATCTATGGTACTGACGTCTCCAAAATGCTTGGGTCTCTGCTGGAACTGGGCCGCAACTTCTCCTCTGTGCTCTCCCAGCCTCTCACGGTGCCAAGCCTCAGCTGCTCTCCACAACCCCTTCACACCTTCAAAACCAGTACCACCTCGGTGACTCTTACACATTACCAAATTTGGCTGCCAGCACAAAGTTTAGACTTGGCCCCGGATAGACCACAGTTTTTGTGTGCTGACGCTGATAAAATGTTCCCCAGATGTTGTCTCAATGATGTTGGTCTGTTCTTAGCCATAGAGGATTCTTCAGCCCCAGCTGGCCAATATTGATTGTCCTGGTAAAGCAAGTTTCACTTTAACGGTTCTGGTCTCTTGTCAAACATAGCCTATTCTTTAGTTTCTGCTGAAAAGAACCACAGATTCTTTTATTGTTATTTTCTTCTATAATGAGTGTTTTTGCATGTATGTGCACATGTGCCTGCCTGCTTGTTTCCCTAGAAAGTCAGAAGAGGGCATCAGATCCCCTGGGATTGGAATTATAGATGATGATAAGCTGCCCTGTGCATACTAGGGATAAAACTTACATCCCTTCTCTAGTAACAAGTGCTCTTAACCACTGAGCCAATTCTCTAGCTCCTTGATTCTTAATTTAAAATATGGAATGGCCCTGATAGAGCCTTGAAGAGATGCTCAAACTTCCCTCTGAAAATTCACAAGCCAGATCTTCATCATGTAATCTGATCTCAGCATTATCTTCTAGGTTCCCACAATATCTCAGCTCTGAACACTCAATCGCTTTTCTAGTCCAAAGTTCCAAAGTCCTTCCATGATCATTCCCCAGACATGGTCAGGTCTGTCACAGCAATATCCCATGAACCTTGTACCAATTTCTATCTTCCTTAGGGCTTTCATGACTATGATAAAATACCATAACCAAAAGCAACTTGGAGAGGAAAGATTTTATTTGGCTTATGTATCCTGGGTCATGCACAGACCACTGAGGGAAGAGAAGGCAGGAATCTGGAGGCAGCCTGCTGTCTTACACAACTCAGGACCCTCTGCCCAGGGGTGGCACTGCCTTCAGTGGGCTGGAACCTCCCACATGGAATAATTTTTCAAGAAAATATCCTACAGAGTTACCTATAGGCAATCTGATGGAACTATTTTCTCCCTTGAGGGATCTCTTTTTACATAACTCTAGCTTGTGTCAGGCTGGCAAAAAAAATGTAACCAAGACATATTGGATAGTTTGCTTTCTAGACTGACAGTTGTCATCAGGGCCACAGAAGCAGTTGCCTGACAGAGAAACTAAGTATAGTGGTTTGAATGAGAATGTCCCCCATAGGCTCAGATGTTCGAATACTTGGTCCTCAATTGGTGACAGTTTGGGTAGATTTTGAATGTGTGGCCTTGTTGGTGGAAGTGTGTCTCTGGGGGTGAGCTTTGAGGTTTTAAAACCTTGAACTATTCCCATTTCACTGTTACTGCTTCCTGCATGTGGTTGAACATGAGAGCTCTCAGCTGCTCCAGCCTGTTCCAGGATATTTGATCACATTGTGAACAACAAAATTGTGATCTATAAAACCTGTGTTTGGGACCTATCACACATCTTTAATCCAAAAACTTTCCGTTTATTGTAAACAAGTGATTATGGTGTGGTTCACGAAGCCCTAGCACATACCTTTAATCCAAGAAATTTCTGTACATTGGATTTAATAAAGTAAACCCTAAGTCAAGAGGCAGAGCAAGAAACCAGCTAACAAGGATTAAAAAGTAGGAGGGACTTTGAGTTGAGAGGTATTTAAGACAGTGTGGAGAAGAAGAAAAGGATTAGCTCAAGCTCTGGCTTTAGCTTAGGCTCCAGCTCCTCAGCTTTCTGGCTTTTTGGTCTTTGAGATAGCAAGCCTTTGCCCTTGGGAGTTTTTGGCTTTTTTGCTTCTAGGCTGTCTGCTGAGCTAGTGGGCCTTTTGGGTTTTTTTGATCCAGACCTGAGCTGAGAAGGACGGTTAGCTGGTTACTTTCTCTCCCTCTCTGAGCTAGCAGGTTTTCTTCCCAGCATCTGGCTCCTGAGTCTTTCTTGATAAAATAGAGCAGCTGGGATTTTCCTTCTTTTAAACAGGAGTTGCCAGACCTGCCTGCTGCTGCACTTCCCCACTGGGGTGGTGACTGACTCTGTGGTCATGGTGTTTTATCAAAACAATAGAAAAGTAACTAGATAGTGAGAAGCTATTCCAAGACAGCAGAGATGAAGACTGAATTGGGACCCAATGGCTTATTTCCACCATCCCCAAAGCTGCTAAGACTAAATGGTGTTGCTGTCACTCCTTAAGTCCTGAGCACTATGCGGGTGGTGGCGATTGCAACTTTGGTCTCACCATTTCTGGAGATAGGGGGGTTGTCAATCAAGCAGGAACTATAAATCAAGTAGCTGCCCCTGGAGGTTCCTCAAGCCATCATCAGGGCAACTGCAACTACAACTGCTCTGTTCTAGCCACCAGTGCCCAGAGAAGACTTTATGTCAGCTGCAGTTGCCCAAAGAGACCTTGTTTCAGTCAAGGGAACCACTGCAATCTGCCACTGCCCCTGCTGTGGCATTGCCCTGGGAAACTCAGCTTTGACCATGACGCCATGAGACAGCACTTGACGACTCTGCTCAGTTACGCCAGACCTCATGACAGTAAACAGATGTTTTTACTGCAAGCTCCAGCTGCTGCGCAAACTCACCGAGTTGTTGCTGCCTCTGGCAGCTGAGGGAAAAAAAATCCTGGAGATTTAGCTGAAGACTGAGAGCTCTGATACCATTAGGTTAACACAAGCAGCTGGGTGTGTTGACTCAACAGTTATTAAAGCCCAAAGCTGTAACCTTGAGATCCAAGTGTTTCCAATACCCCAAGCTGGGGGGTTACTGACACAAGGGGAGCTACACTTTGCCCGTTGCGGATTTTCAATATCCGCTGCGGCCAGTCTGCATGCACTACCGGAGCAGGGTGCTAGTGCCAGTCCGTAGGACAAGCCCACTGCGCGGTCGGACTACCCAGGGGTAGCGGATAGGGGGACTCCTAGGCCCCGCCTCCCGGTTACTGGACAACGGGGTGAGGCGTCCCTCTTACCCTGCGTCTGTGCGACACGCACCCGGCCTCCCTCTCTAGCGCCTGCGCGTTACATCCCTTTCGTCCCTTCGTCCTTTTACTTCCAGTTATGTAAGCGCAAGCTTCACCTTCTCTAAAGAGGCGCATCCTCGGGCGGAAGTGCAATAACGGAAGCGGAAGTGAGCGCTCCGGAGACTGCGGGTCTGAAATCTGGTTGACGCGTCTGCAGCTACCGCAGAGCTCCTCTAGGTAGGCCGGGCCGGGGTTCGGCCCTCGGTCTCTGCGGTCGCGCCTCCTCGCCCGGGGCCCCGCCGTGGCCACGCCCCTCCGCGTCCTTCGCCTCGACTGCTCGGCGCCCTGGCTGCTCTTGCGCCCCGCTGGTGCGGCCCGGGCGGAGGATAGAGGCAGCCACCCTCTGGTGGAGCGGGTTGGAGGCTCTTCCTGAGCCCAGCCGCAGTACGCTGAGGACCAGCGAGGTAGAGTCTCAGGCTCGGGTAGTGGAGAAGTGGGACTTGCAGTGATGGAGAGGCCCCTGCTGTGTTCAGTTCCCCTGGTCAACCTTTTGGTTTAGGCTTCTCTGCATGTGCTCTCCGACCTTTCCATCTTAGGGACTTGCTGTTATCAACGACCACGTTCTTCAGGGAGCCTCTGATCATTTTCCCCATCTCCCATCCATTAGTGGGTATTTCCTGACTTTTACTGACGTTAGTTAGTGTGGTGTAGGAGCTCTGGCTGCTTGTTCCTTACCCATTTTAGAAAGGCACCAACAACAGATTCATTATTTCTCTTGCCACCCACCTTGACTATAGCACCTCCCAGGGCATCTCAGGTTGTATTTTGAGCAGTAGGACTTCCATCGTGTAGGAGTGGGAGTGGGCTGTTTGGAAAGTTTCCTCATCTCAGCATTATTTACTGCTTATGTACCTATTAAGACTTACCCAAATACCCAGCTGTAAAAAGTCCCTAATTTATTTGTATGTTGTTGTTTCTTTTTCCAGTCATCTTATAATAACTACTTTAGGGAGCAGAGAACTTCCTTACCTGCTTTTAGCAGTAAAGAAAAAGAATAATAATTTAATATCTGCAGCTTTCTGTCTTTGGGAAATTTTATTTTACAGTGTGCTAATTGTGTGCTGTGTGATAGATAATTCCTCAGGAAGCCTGTTCACCTCAGGTAGGCCACTGACAACAGACCAAAAAGCAGATTCCAACTAAGTGAAGCTTAACAAACCAGTGTGTATGTTGAAGTTATTTACAGGGACGTGGGTGACTCAAAGGCTGCTCTATAACCAAAAAGCCCACTCCAGCTTGAGTAACAACTCATGAGAACTGCATCCATGAAGCTCTCTTGCAGGCATCCTGGCTATTCAGAGATTTCCTTCTCCTGAGCAGTTACCTACTGCTTTTGTAACTTTGGGGTGGGTTCTTAGGAATTTTGTGGATTTTAAAAGGTTTTAATTTTTTTTTTTTATGGACCTTGTTGTCTGCCTAAAGAATGTCTTTCATTTATATGTATATAAGGACATATGTAAATACATCTTACCAAATAAACTAAAAAATGTGATGCTTTCCCACATTTTAAATTTTGACTCTTGAACCATTTTATAGTTTTTTTCATGAAGTCACTATCTCAAATATTGCAATTATTTTTATCTTTATCTACATTTTATGTAGTTTTCTATTATTAAGTGTACTTGGCACATCTACCTGCATAGTTTGATAAGCTTTAATATTTGTATTAAATATGTTTATCAGCATAGCCAGTAGTGTCCATGCCTGTCACTTCAGAGTATATTCTTGGGCATCAGAGACAGCTCTTTTAGACCACAGACCTGCCAGAGGCCTGTGTCACACAGCGAGAACCAGCCCCTCATGCGGGTTCTGAAGAAAACCTTGAATAATAATTTTACTTTTTATCTGGTGCCTTCATGCCTTGTGACTCCTGGCAAGTAGGCTGGGTCACATGGCATGGAATTAACAACCACCCCCCCCAATTACAATCAGAAACTACCTTTGTTTCTTGTAAACAGAAAAAATTCTCTCTTCCTTCAGGACCTCAGCATGCCATCTGTGGTTTGGTGCTATAGCTCTCTTAGTATTCTGGGAACTGAACAGTCTGGCTCTTTATATTAATCAACCCTGTCATCCTCTCTCTATTAATAAACCTCTGTTTTTTTACCTGAAGACTTGGTCTACTTCATTGCTCCATCATATGGCTGCCATCCCAGCTATAACTTTAAAAAAGGTCCCATCTGAAGGGAAATCATGTCAACTTCTTTTCTACAAGTCAGTAACATCATCATCATTTTTTTTTTTTCAAGTTTTAACATTTATTTATTTTTTGGTTTTTCAAGACAAGGTTTCTCTGTGTAACAGCCCTGGCCTTCCTGGAGCTCTAGACCAGACTGGCCTTGAACTCACAGAGATTCACCTGTCTCTGCCTCCCAGGTGCTGGGATTAAAAGCATGAGCCACCACCACCCTGCCCCATCATCATTATTATGATGATTAATTATTACTATGTTTATGACAATCACTGGTCTGCTTTTATCACCACAGATTTGCTTATCTGTCAGTGAACTAGAATTTTATGTACATCAGGACAGCATGCTCTTTTTCTGGACTGCAAGTGTTTGTGTCTGGCTACTTTTAGTTAGCAAAAGTAATTCAAGCAAGGTATAATGGCATAAGCTCTTAATCCCAGCACTCAGCAGGGAGAGGCAGGTGGGTCTCTAGGAGTTCAAGGCTATCCTGATCTATTACCAGAATTACATTTGTGAGACTCTATCTCAAAAAAAAAAAAAAAAAAAAAGAGTACCAATTTGCAGATGACCTATGTTTCAATTTTTATTTTAAATTTTAAAAATAACTTCTACTTAAATCTTAGGTGGGAGATAATTACCCTTTTAAAAACTTAACTCAGTCTGGTAAGATGGCTTAGTGGGTGAAAATGGCTGCTGTGAAAGACAATTTCCTGCTCTAGAAATTAATGCATACTTAATAAAAACGTCTCCTTATGTTCATTGAAAACACTCCTAGTCAATATGTCATGTAGCTTGGTGATACACTTTATTTTTAGAACGTTAAATGATGAGTGTCTAGAAGTAACGTTATCGTTACTAATTGTGGATTTATCTCATTTTGTTTTTTGCAGATTCATAGAATTCAATTATGGGTGTGAGAGGTTTGCAGGGGTTTGTGGGAAGTACCTGCCCACATATATGTACAGTGGTAAATATCCCCGAGCTGGCCAGGCAACACCGAAACAAGTACCCCGAATGTACTCCCACCATTGTGGTGGACGCCATGTGCTGCCTGCGATACTGGTACACACCAGAGTCTTGGGTCTGTGGTGGCCAGTGGCGAGAATACTTTTCTGCTTTGAGAGATTTTGTTACGGCCTTCACATCTGCGGGCATCAAGTTGGTATTCTTCTTTGATGGTATGGTGGAGCCAGGTAAGAGAGATGAGTGGGTAAAGCGAAGACTTAAGAACAACAGGGAGATATCCAAGATTTTCCACCATATCAAGTCAAAAAGAGATCAGCCAGGCAGAAACATGTTTTTCATCCCCTCCGGCCTGGCCATATTTACAAGGTTCGCTCTAAAGACACTGGGCCAGGAGACTTTCTGTTCATTACGGGAAGCAGACTATGAGGTAGCTTCTTACGGTCTCCAGCACAACTGTCTTGGGATCCTTGGGGAAGACACCGATTACTTAATTTATGACACCTGTCCCTACTTTTCGATCGGCGACCTTTGCCTAGAGAGTCTCGAAACCATTATGCTGTGTCGAGAAAAGCTCTGTGAGAGCCTCAGCCTCCACGTGGCCGACCTTCCTCTGCTGGCCTGTCTGCTTGGCAATGACATCACCCCAGAGGGCATGTTTGAAAGCTTTCGGTACAAGTGCTTGTCCTCCTATGCTTCTGTGAAAGAGAATATTGGCAAGAAAGGAAACATTATCTTAGCTGTCTCAGACTATATCTCCAAAGTCCTTCACTTGCATCAAGGTGAGAAAAAGATAGAAGAGATGTTACCCCTGGGGACAAACAAACTTCTTTTTTACAAAGGAGTGACATCATATCTTCTGCCAGGACAGAAGTCTCCATGGTTAATTCAGAAACCCAAAGGCATGACAGACAAGCAGGTGGTGAGTTTAAACCCTGCATCCAAGCAAGAAGTTCCTATGTGTATAGACTCTGAATGCAAACAAGAAGTTCACGTGTGCGCCAATCCTGAGTCCACGCAAGAAGTTCCCATGTGTATGGATCCTGAATCCAACCAAGAAGCTTCCATGTCCACAGATCCTGAATCCAAACAAGAAGTGCCTATGTGCACAGATCCTGAATCCAAGCAAGAAGTTTTCATATATGCATTCCCAGAGTTCAAGCAAAAATTACCTTCAGAAACAGACTCTGAGTTTGATCTAGAAGCACTCATGTATACACAATCTGAAATTAAACAAGAAGATGCCATGGATATGGAACCTGAAGTAAAACAAGTAACCATGATTTCAAACTCTGAAATCTTAAAGGTAAGTGGCTGTTCCCCACCCCCCGACCTTCCTCTACAATGTTATGTTTGGAAGTATGCCTACTAATGGATTTGTTCTGAGAATTTATTGATTAACTGCAGAGCACTGTGGGAAGATACAGACTAAAAACCTCTTGAGTCTAGTTAGGAAGATGTCACTATGTATATGAAATCATACTGTAAATACATTTGATATTGTCTCATAAATAGGGTGGGAAAGGGCTGTAGCAATTCTAAGGAGAGAATGTTGTGGGTTAGCTATAAAGAGAAAGCTTCCTCATGGAGTCAGGCCTCCTGGAGGACAACATTTGCTTTGAATAAGTCAAATGTGGGGTTGTAGGAACCCTATGGATGTAGTGATTAAATTAGTGTCACTGTGAGGCACACTGGTAAACTATCCAGGCAAGAGTCTAGGGCTTGTGGAAAGGGAAGCTTGGAGAAGACAGAGTGTAACTGCACTATAAAAGTTATTAAATGCTAGGAGTTTGGGCTGATTCTAAGTTAACATGTAAGCTTTGAAGAGTTCAGTTTAGTGGAGAGTTACTGTTCGAATTTTCCAATTTTTTTTTTGAAGTTTTGTGCGTCTATCTTTTCTCATTTGACTCTTACAACAGCCCTGTGAAATAGGCACTTTTCTAGTTACCCCAACTCTGCCATCATGCTAAGTATATGCTAACCTTGAGCTACATCCCAAGTCCTGTTGTCTTGGTTGTATGGATAGGGCGATAACTACAAGAATGTCTAAAGATTGCAAGCTCAGAACCAAGCAGGATTTTACCACAAACTTTTGAGCACTGCCTTGTGTCACCATCTTTCAAGCTACAGATCTAGGAATTCTGTCTCACTTTTGAGTCAGGGTGTCACTGTGTAGTCCAGGCTGTCCTGGAACTCACTATGTAGACCAGGCTAACTTTGCACTCAAAATAATTTCCCTGCCTCTGCTTCCCTGGTGCTAAGAGTAAAGTCATGTGCCACCATAGCTGACTTTCTCACTTTTCATAGCCAACCTTTCTTAGCCTTATGAGTTTTCTGTTTGTGCAGTATCCATTTCTTCCAGCTATATTTTTTTCACTAGTCACAGCTATCTGTTGTAGGAATTACTGTCTTAATTACTGTCAGGAGGCGTTGTCAAGAACGCCTCCTGAGTAGGCTGTTGTCCTTTCTAGTTCATTTGTCACACTGTGTAGGGAAATAAAGCTCCTTATCTTGTATTTTCTTATAATTATTATTTTGTAACAAAAACATATAGCCAAGAAATAATGGTGTCTAGCCTTTGCCTGTCTCCCGCCTGGTCTCTGCCTGTCTCCTGCCTCTGTCAGGCTGGTTTTCCTACCTTTTGTTTGGTCACATGGTCCTCACACTATTGTACACGCTCTTCCACCTTCTCCTACCCAGTGCTCACCAGTCCCCTCTGTTACAGCCACTGTTAAAACTATGTCTTACCCACCCTCTGTGAACTTCAGTTGGAATCTTGTTGGGTGATCAGCATCCCTCTGTTTTCCCAATGTTGTATGTTTTACACCTCAAATACTGTCTTTTTATAGCTCTTCTTCAAGTGTTTGTGGGATAAATGACTTCTTCCCCAACTGTAGCTTAGCTCCTTAGTGACTCCTTCCTGCGACAGCCACATCAGTCTCTCCCCTTTTTAAAAAGCCATTGACCTCTTTTCTGTTAATGGATTGTAGCAAGCTACTGAATGGCAAGTTACAGTGATCACAGTAAAATGTAGACTCTCACATTCCTGAGGAGAGCCACAGGTGGACAGATATTAAGAATTCAGAAAACAAAATGATTGTTTGCACTTGGAGGTATCGCTAGTGCTTCATGGAAGGACCTTCATGGAGAGACACAGGGGCCCTTCAGGACAGTGCTGGCAGTGTGAGAGCAGTAAAGTGGATGTGGCCTGGTGGACAGGTTGGCGCTCTTCAGGGTAGGGAGAAGGTGAGGCTGACCTTGCTTAACGTTCAGTTTTATTATGCAGATTAGATGTAACAATGCCACTTTAATACAGCTCCTTCGAAGACTCTCCTCAGATTCTTGTTTGTTGAAGGCAGAGCTCACATTGCACCTTTTTAGTCACCAGCTCTGTGTAGGAGCTCTTGGCTTCAATCTGACTTGAGGGCAGAGATGTCCAAGGCTCATGACGTCTGTTCAGTCACCAGAGCGAGAAGCTTTTGGCTGCCTTCTGAACTGAGCAGTGTCCAAGGCTCATGACATCCGGTCCTAAGCCAGGATCCCCATCCAGCCTCTGGATCTGACCTCAAGCTTACGACTGTCTTCTCTGCTGGCCACTTGGAAATGAAGTATAGCCAGGAGTTCCAACAGCACAGAAATAAATGGGATCCCCTGAAGCTTCTCTCTCCTGGTCTCGTGTGCCACCTGAGGTGATATCTGTCCCAAAACTTAGCCTTGGGTGTCCCAGAGGGAGATGGTGTTGGCTTGCCCTGCTGACTCTGCAGCCACTCTGCTTGCCTCTGTTTTCATCCGGCCCCTTCCCATTATTTCCTGTTTGTGTCCTGCACTTGCTCTCTGTGACTCAGGGTCCGCTTGTGAGGGCTGTTCTGCCTCCTACCAAGTCCAGAGTCTGCATAGCTCTCTCAGTTTTTGCGCAGAGGGTGGGCCCGACAGCTTCGGCTAGACCATGCAGGGCAGGGAACCTCATTTGCTATGAAAGAATTTAGTGCTTCATTTCTGTGCCTAGTGAAGCAGTGTTGCACATTTTTAAATACATGTGATGAGATTGATGTTTGCTTTTAAACACTGATTATACTGCAAAGAACAGATTTAAACTCAACTACTGCAAAAATTCAAGTAAAAGACAAATGTGGGTAAATGAGCCAGAATTAGGAAATGGCAGTCGGAAAAGCAGCTACATTGTGCCTTTTGGTTTGAGGGTCTCCACCCTAGTTTAAAGAAAAAAACTAATAATTGAAAGAATGCTGCCGGTAGAGATTTAGCACCAGTTCTGCTGTAAGTTAGGTGAAAATGCTGAGGGGCACAACAGGAGCAGCAGATTGGATCATTTTGATGATCAAGTAGCATGATGTAAAGGTCTGATAGCAGGTGGGGTGTGGCTCGGCAGTAGACCACATACTTCCCAAGACCCGAGATTCAACCCCTGGCACCAAGAAAGTAAATAACCATAAAGATCTGATGTCAAAAACTGAATTGATGTTTTCAGTGCAAAGAAAAGGAATATGAGAAAGAATTTTGGATATTAGTCACTCCAGAAGTGATCATGACTGACCTCTGTTAGGATTCTCAGCCTGTCTGCCTGAGCCTCTCAAGTGCTAGACTTGCAGGCATGTGCCACTGTGATTGGCTTATACCCTGGTTTAGAAGTGAAACCAGCAGTAAATAGGTTCGTGTTGTCATAGAATTCCTCCTTGCACACCTGAAACAGTAGCCGCAGCAGCTAAGGGAGAAGTGCAATTTTCAACAAGGTGAGTAACAGTTCCACTACAGAGGGGTGAGGGTAGCCCCTTTGACATGCGCACACAATGAAGTACAGGCTTGAAGTTCCAGTCTTCTGTTAGAAGCCTACAGTAAAAGTATGTAGGATGGAGTCTTAAATACTTAACTGAGAGACAAGGAGAATGAGGAGAAAGTAATTCTCTTATAAGAGGAGAAAAGTCATAGAGTGTAAGTACTACAAAGGTCAAGAAAGAGGGTGCGGCCTCTGCTAAGCCCACCAGACTCCAGTGGCTAGCTCTAAGTCCACAGAAACACAGATGGCCCTGGTTAACCTTGGTAGATCATAAAACAAATCAAATAGACATAAAGGCACAAGAGAGATTTGTGAAGAAGGTAGTAGGTGGAGGGCAAGCAGGAGTGGTGGGAAGGGAAAGTATGGTAACTGCATATGTCAAAGTATTTTTAAAAAAAGACTTTAGTTTTTTAAGTAGGGCTTGGACCAAAATGCATCTGGGTTTGACAGTTGGGAGATTTTAGTGACTATTTTGGTGATTGTGGACAGGTGTGGACTATGGCAAAGGTGTAGGTAGACCGCTTGCTGGGATCTGCAAAGGGCAGCAGGGAAGAAGGGGTCAAGAAGACCTCACAGGCAAAAGCAAGTGCTATGCGATGTCACAGAGCGTGTCTTACATTTACAGATGAATTTAATTGTGTTGCCCTTGCCTCCACCCATACTCTAGTGGAGTCTTGCAAACCTGTCTAAGAGGCATGGCTTCCACACATTTGGAAGGCTTGATGTGGAACCATGGCAGGCATGGCCACAGTCACTTGGTCATAGGCTTGATGTGGAACCATGGTGGGCATGAGCACAGTCACTTGTTCATAGGCTTGATGTGGAACCATGGCAGGCATGAGCACAGCTGCATGTGCATACTTCTTCCGGTCAGTTTAAAGATCATATTGAACAGCCCATTATATAGCTTTCATGATACTGAGTAAACTACAATTAAAGGGCATGGCAGAAGCAAAGAGCACTTGGGTGGTATTAACAAGACTGAATTAAGAATCCTAAATGCATAACTTAACTGCAAGCATTATACCTTTAGAAGGGAGTGTCTATCTATCTGTCTCTCTATCTATCTGTCTATCTACATGTTTATGCTGAAATTAAGTTTTTATTGGAAGAGTAAGTATACATAATTCATTATTATTTTCTACGTAAATTTGTAAATACAAACTTTGAAACAGAGAGTAAGAAGTGGCCTGGGGATAGTAACACATTATTTTAATCTAGGATCTCTGTGAGTTCAAGGCCAGTCTGGTATACATGTGAGTTACAAGGGCTATGCAGAGAGACCCTGTCTCAAAACACACACACATACACAAAGTCAGAAGTGAAAGAGGCAATTGAAAATTAAGTATATGTAATTTTACTGTAAAAAATACCATAAAATCTATTAAGTTGAATATCTGTATTAGAGTTTTCATTAAAAATGTTTCTCAAAAAAAAAAAGTGTTTCTCATGATCCTTTTCTTTTTTTGTTATGTGTTGTTTTATTTGTCTGTTTTCTTTTATTTAGAGCCAGGACCTCTATGTCCTGGAACTTGCTCTCTAAACCAAGGCTGGCCTTGAACTCAGAAATCTGCCTGCCTCTGCTTCCAGAGTGCTGGGATTAAAGGTGTGTGCCACTACCACCTGGCTGGCTTCTCATTTTCAAGGGAAGGACACACCAGTGCCACATGGTCTGTCTCCCTGAAAGCATGTATGTAAGTATGTATTCAACAGGTTATATTTAGGAGTATATATGTGTATACAGATACAGATATGCGCACAATAGCAGCTAATGAAAAAAGGCCTTATACTTGAAGGAGAGTTGGGAGGACTTCGAGGGAGGAAAAGGAAGGGAGAAACATTGTAATTATATTAAAATCTCAAAAGCAAACAAAAATAGTCAAAACCTGGTAGTGGGTTTGCCTTGGTTTAAAGAGTTCTAACAGTGTGCTAGGCCGCATGTCTGTGTCTAGTAAGAAGAGCAAGTTGACTACTCCTGAGTGATCCACTTGGTATTTACTGATAGCCTAAACATTCAGACATTTTAAGTAGATCAGCTCATTTAAACCTCCCAGTGATCTAGTGGCTTTTTAAAATAAAACTTGTATTATAAAGAATAGGGTGATTGAAACTCAGATCTCAATAGTGAGTCCATATAATTAGGCCTACTTAGGTGCACATAAATTAGATCCAAATATTTGACAGTCTAAGTCATCCTAACATAACATTTTAAATGCCTTTCAGTAGACAGTTTAGATTTAAAATTCTGAATAATACTATAGATATAGAATAACCTTATTCCCACAATAATGAGTTTTGAAAAAAAAACTGCATGTAGGTCATTATAGACCTTTTGATCTAAGCTGCTTAATGAGAAAGTTGAGTTTAAGTCACATCTTATGGCCTTCCTCTTATTCGGAGGAAAAAGACATATGCTGGGACATGACTTTTGTTAATTATTGAAGCCAGGTGCAGTGGGACATAAGAAAGAAGGGAGAGAGTAAGAAAAATTGAACAAACAAATAAATACAGCACAACTTCTAGCACCAGGCTGTTTGATTGGAAAAATAAAAGTTGAGTCTCCTGAGCAAACAGTGGTTTAATTTCAGCTAGAAAGGGGGAATAGTTTGTAGAGAACATAGGTCATGATTGAGGGGAGTCCAGGAGGGTCATGAAGTAGGAGGTTAGGAAGCTGTGGTAAGAAAGACAGGGGAGATTTGTGCTTCTAGACACAAGGTAAAAGAGGGGGCTGCTATTGGAAGACAGTGCTGTTCCCTGAGAGGAGTATAGCACAGTTTCTCTGAGAGCAAAATGGTATGCAAAGAGATAAAGGAGGTTTGAACCCTAGTGAGACCAAGAATGTCATAGTAAAGTTTGTGGTAGCCATTTGGATGTCTTACCCAGGGGAGCAGAGTAATCTGTCTCCAAGAAGACAGCATGGTGGTAGTGTGAATGAGTTGGTAAGGTGAGATGCTCAAGCTGGAGGCTCAGTTAGGACGCCTTTGTAACAACCAGAATGGAGAGCAGTGAGGATATGTTTATTGGGAGGCCTCAAGCAGACATAATAATAAGACATTACACAGGTAAGTATAAGTAGTGGTAGATTGGAGGACACAGGAGAAGAGTAATGCGAGTAACTTAATAGTCTAAAAAAACAAAAAGAAAACTTAAATGCCACTTGATGTCATGTGTTGGAATGACAGTTCCTTGTGTGAGTATCTTAAATAAAGTGATAAGTGGTATTGACCGTCTGTGTGTCAAACTCAGAAGTCTGGCTCCTTGACAGGTGGCCAGGATGCAGCACGTCCACTCAGAAAGCTACCTGGTATACAACATCATGAGCAGCGGGGAGATTGAGTGCAGCAACACCCTGGAGGACGAGCTGGACCAGGCCCTCCCCAGCCAAGCCTTCATCTACCGCCCGGTCCGGCAGCGCGTATACTCACTTTTACTTGGGGACTGGAAAGGTGAGAGCCAGGTGGTCTGTTTTAGCAATGACTGTTTGGAGTTGGATTCTGAGAAATGTAGAAGAGTGCATTCTCAGAGGACAAGCCGACAGCAGCTTTTGTTTGTCTGTAAGATCTGTACTTGAGAACACCATTAAAGATTAATGCCACAAGACACTACTATCTCTGTGAGCTCCATTCCAATGTGGTCTACATAGCAAGCTCCAGGACAGCCAGGACAAGGTAGAAAGATCCTGTCTCAAAAACAAACAATGATAAAAAAAAAAAAAAAAACAAGGGAAACCCCTGCCCTCTAAACAAGGATGAGCTGGGAGGATTGTTTTCAGATTGGAGCATCTGAGTGATGAAATTTAGAGTGAACATTGCTGTTCTTTGTCTCTGCCCAATGCCAGCTCCTTCCCAGGTAGTCAGAATCAATGTCTCTTCTCCCTGCCTGAGGAGAGAGGCCAAACAACCCTTGGAAGTGTGTACAGGTAATCCACACATGGCTTTTTAGGCAAGAAACCAGAAATATAAATAGGCTTCCATATTTAAATAGTCCTAGGGAAAACAAGTACGGGTTATTTTTTCAAAGTGTAAAGCATGCTGGGGGAGATGGTGGGAGGTCTTACTGATGAGGACCCATCCCTGAACTGAGATGACTCCATTAGGTATAGTCAGCCTTGATCTGTTCAATGTAGGAAGTCAGTTCAAGAGTGGATCCATGGGACTGGAGAGATGGCTCAGGGGTTAAGAACACTGGCTGTTTTCCCAAAAGCCCAGAGTTCAATTCCCAGCAACCACATGGAGGCTCATAACACTCTATAGTGAGATCTGGTGCCCTCTTCTGGCCTGCAGCAGAATGCTGTATAAATAATAAACATCTTTAAAAGAGGCGGGGGGGGGGGGGGGCTCCATGTGTGAATGTCTATGAGAGTCCTTTCGGGGCTTTACAATATTTTTTTATGCATATGAGTGCTTTGCCTCCAGGTGTGGAAGTGCACACCTTTAGTCCCAGCTTTTGGGGAGGCAGAGGCAGGCAGATCTCTGAGTTCCAGGCCAGCCTGGTCTACAAAGCAAGTACAAGACAGCCAGGCCTGCACAGAGAAACCCTCTCTTGAAAAACAAAACAACAACAACAACAAAAAAAAAAATAACAAAACAAAAGAATGTTTTGCTAGGATGTATATCTTTGCACCTTGTGCGTGCCTGGTGCCTGTGGAGGTCAGAAGAGGGTGTCAGATCCCCTGAAAATGGAGTTTTGGGTGTTTGAGAGTGGCCATATAAGTGCTGGGAATTGAGTGCCTTTAACCACCAAACCATCTCTCCAGCCCATTCCTTCTGGTCTTGAACTCAGTATTTGAAGCCACTTATAAAACTTACATTAGACTTTTAAAAACAAAAGTCCTTTTCTATGTTTGGTGAGGAATTATTGTAAAATTTCAGTTGGCTCAGAGATTTCTGTGTTTGTTGTTTTTCACCCTTTAGCAAAGCGATGTGGAAGGAATGAGTGGGCCACTGTTAGGCCACTGTTAAGCTAGAGAAGCGCAGTAGCCGTTGGTGACATGTTTGTTTTCATCCCTGGGGAAGGAAAATTCATGAGGCAAGTGGTTATGGAAGGACTTTGCGGTCCTATACCTACTGACCTGTTTTCTTTACTCAGATGGAGCCAGCATTGGCCCAGTGGTCAAGGAGTGGTTTGTGTACCCTGGAAACTCCCTGAAGCACCCAGACCTTGTTAGGCCTCTGCAGATGACCGTTGAAGGTATGCACAGCCGTAAGCTCTTCGTCTTAGGGGGTCAGCTCAGGAAAGAATGCTTTGTATGAATGTCTGTTTGCAGAATTACGAGTTGACTAATGTGCACTTCAATTCTTATCCCCTGAAAGACTCCAGTGATACAGAATTATTAGCTTATAGGCTTTGTGTGTTAGGGGCTAGGGGGCTTAGGTAGAGGCCAACATTGAGTATCTTCTTAAGTTCACTTTGATTCTTTCGCTGAGTTTGGAACTCACTGATTTGGCTAGACTTGCTGAGCAGAGAGCCACAGCGGCTGCACTGTCTCCACCTCCTCAGACCTAGGGTTGCAGGCAGCATATGCAGCATGGTGGATTCTGGAGGATCAAACTCAGGTCCTCCCCCCTTCTGTGGGCATTTTACCTACCAAGCCACCTCTCCAACTCCCTGAGAGTTTCTGTGACAGGATCACAAAGGCACTGGCCATTGATGGAGTCAAAATCTGATGGTGTTATCGGGAACTTAGGAGCTGGGTCCTCCAGCTGGGGGAGGTGGGTGCCTAGGATGTGCCTTTGAAGGCGTTCTCCTCACAAAGCATGTGGCACAGACAGAGATCCTATCGGCCCCCTCTCCCATCATCAGGAGAGACTTAGAGGCTTTGTTGGAGCCTTGGGTGTCTTATCCCCATGTCAAATAGGAGCTTTTCTTCAGAGATAGCTCCCACTGGCTGCCTCACTGAGCTCATTGAGCTTTCTGTTCTTTCTCTTTTTAAAGGCCTTTCCTCAGACTTTATTGGATCATTTCTACAGTTCACTAAAGGCCTTTCCCTCTAACAGCACCCATGGCATGATGTTGCTTCCCTGACTAGTGGTAATAAAAAAGAAATCAGATATTTTTCACCAAAGTACAAGGAAGTAAAGGATTGCAGGAAAAAAATAAAAATTAAAAAAAAAAACATAAATTCTTTAAAAATTTGGGAGAAGAGTTGTATGTTATGGCACATGCTTGTAACCTGAGTATGCGAGAGGAAGAAGGTTCCAGGTTCAAGGCCAGCTTAAGCTGTATAATGAGACACTATCTCTAAAAGGAAAAGAGATAGAATAGGGAGTTCAGAAAGGAGGCAGGGGACAAAAGGAAGGAAGAAGGAACTGGAAGCTGAACAACAAGGAAACAGCAGGAAGCGCACTCTGTTTGCTGTATTCTCCAGACTTATGTGCTGAGGGCAGAGCCACATATGTGATAGTTCTAGACAGGCAGGAGACCTTTGGGAAATGGCGTGGGTGGTTAGGTGGGGATTGTGCCCTTATAAAAGGACATCACGGGAAATTCTCTTGTTCTTTCCCCGTTGAGGACACAGTGCCTGTGCACCAGAAAATAGCCCTCAGCGGACACAAGCACCTTGGTCTAAGGCTTCCAGAGTCGAACTGCTTTCCTGCTATAACCTGCCCAGCGTGTGGTACTTTGTTATAGCAGGCCAAGTGGGCCACAGTGTGGGTCAGCTGTGTTCAGGGCTCACTGATAGTCATATCGCTCCTGTGTTCCTTGTGTTGATATGCTTGCTTGTGCATGCACGTTATTCTGCTGGGCAATACATTGTGAAAGGTGTGTTTTGGTAACACAGGAAGGGAATTAGTGTTGTTCCCCAGCTCAAGGAGTGTGTGTTTTCCTCCATGAGCTGCCTCTCCAGCTTTTTCTCCACCTCATTTATGGTCTTATACCGTGAGGGTTGAGTGTGGAGTTGAGTCTGGTTGAGTTCCTGTCTCTCTTGAACAACTGTTAAGTGTGGTTCAGCACTTTGTAAATAAGCAATGGTTTTTGGCTACTTAAGGGCATCTGACTTACCATGAGCTCACAGGACATCTTAGAAGAGTCTCACAGGATAAAGAAGGTGACGCCTTACATTTTGTAGAAAAGGTACCATGTTTGACGCCTTCTGTTTCTGCTTTCTTGTTTTAGTTCTCCTTTCCTGAGTAGCTCAGGAAAGATTTCTGTGTCCCGAACATGTACAGCCATGTGGAAGGTTGTCTGCCTCTGCAACTTCCTCCACAAATAATGTGGACCGCCTATAAAAACAGTGACACTGTCAAACAGGTGTCACAAATATGTATTATAAGATAAGGGTTGCATTCTACACTTTTTAGTAACCATTGTGACTGTTTTGCATATACTGAGATGGAAACATTGTAACAAGAAAACATGAAATTAGATATCTTAGCCATGTGTAGATAGAATTCAGTGTTCTAATGCAATCTAGTTCATTGATATATGAAGGATTTTTTATTATGAGAAATAGCCAATTGAAATGTATTCCAATAAGATTCACTTGCATGTGAGTATACAGGGGTTTTATTTTTTGTTTTTCCTTAATTGATAGCTTCACATTTCATATCCTCAGTGGACACAAACCAGGAAGTTCTATATTTGCTGGAAGTTTTGTTTGTTTATTTATTTTGATTTTATTTTAATTAGATTTATCACCTTAGAAACAGAGAAGGAGAAATACTTTTAAGGTAGCTAAAATCCCTGGCATTTAATTTGCTTAGCTCCACAGGAAGAGTATGGAGAAGTACTGGCTTTGCATATTCATATATTTATTCATTGTGTCTTATTCATTCATTTGTGATTATTCCTGTGAGAACACAAGTTGGGCATTGCTTTGTACTTATGTGGGGAACCCCACTTTGGTCTCCCACAGGTCTTGCAGTCCTCAGAAGTAGCCTCTCCTTGCTTGGCTTATGGAACTCCATCCTTGCTGAAGTCTAGACATCCTGTCTACCTGTACATAGACCTTTATTACATTTGTAATTGGGTTGAAGCTGATGTTATCTCACTGTGATCTGGAGACCAGAGTGTGTATTCTGGTCTCTGAATTCAGGCTGTAAATACCTCAGCCTCTCTTTTCTTGTGCATAAAATTTAGGGATTCTATTGGTTCCTCAATGGTTTGTTTTAGCCTGGACTCTGGATGAGAGTATGTATGTGAGTGTGTGAACTGAAAGAGAACGAGTGTCTGAGAGTGTGTGTGATTGTGTGTGTCACAGTGTGGACGAGTATGAGTGTATGTGAATGAAAGCGTATGTACATCTGTGTGCAAGTATGATGTGTACGTGTGTGGCTGTGGATGAGATGTGTACAGCTCTTTCCTATGCCAGCTGCTCTGCTGAGCCGATCGCTTTATTGTTTTGTTATACATACTTTGTATTTGCTTGTTTGTTTGGGTTTTGGAGACAGAGTTTCTCTGGCTAACAGAGCCCTGGCTTGTCCAGGAGGCTAACAGAGCCCTGGCTTGTCCAGGACTCACTTTGTAGACCAGGCTGGCCTCAAACTCACGGATACCCCACCCCTGCCTCTGCTTCCCACATGCTGGGATTAAAAGTGTGTGCCACCATGCCTAGCTAAACATATTTTTTGTAAAGTACAGTCATTTAACTAAAAATCTCCTTTATTTTTGGGCAGTCTCAACAACCAGTGAGTCATTTTCTTAGAGCTTACTATTAAAAAGAATTAATCATCCAGGCGGTGGTGGCACACGCCCTTAATTCCAGCACTCGGGTGGCAGAGGCATGTAGATCTTGTGAGTCTGAGGCCAGCCTACATAGTGATTCCAGGACAGCCAGGACTACACACAGAGAAACCTAAGTCTCAAAAAAAACAAAGAATAATAATAATAATATAAAAATTAAAAAATTAATCTAGGCATCCTTCAAAACATACCCCACCCTGCCCTGGTGAGGACGATACTGGAGACCAATGGGAGGAGGAAGAGAAAGTCCTTAAGCCTTTGTATAGTTGCATCAGAGGGGTTACACATTTGGGAATATTCATTTATGATATCTAGAGATGAAAACCTTGCTGTGGGCAGTGTGTCATACAAGACCACAGCTTCTGCAGAAAGCCACAGAGACGGTTTATCTTCTACAGTCAGCATACATGGGCATTTGAAATTTCTTGACTAAACAAATTATTGATTGCATTTGGAAATTAAAATTTCTGGTATTAAAGGATTTGGGGCTATTTCCTTCACCCCACCAAAATGCCAACAGAAAAGAAGGCCAAGGGAAAGAAAGTGGCCCTCGTTGCTGCTGCTATGAAGAGAAAAGGCTCATGTTTTGGGGCCTTAGATAAGTCATCTATCCCCAAAGAGTTTTCACCCCAGACCATTCAGCTGCAGAAGCAAAGGGCTACAAGTGCCTGAAAGTACCTCCCGCAATTAACCAGTTCACCTAGGCCCTAGACCGTCAAACTGAGCTTCTTATGTATAGACCAAAGACAAAGCAAAAAAAAGCAGCAGAATTGTTGGCTCGTGCGGAGAAGAAAGCTGCTGTTTAAGGGGACAACCCCACTGAGAGACCACCTATCCTTTGAGTAGGGGTCAGTACTACCTAGGTGGGGAACAGGAAGTCTGGACTGGTGGTAGTCACCCATGAGGTAGACCCCATTGAGTTGGTTGTCTATTCTGTTACAAGATGATGTCACCTACTGTATTGTCAAGGAGAAAGCCAAACTGAAGCACTGGTCCACAGAGAGACATGCGCCATCATCACCTTCACACAAGTTAACAGGAGACACAGTAGCTGTGGCTGAGCTAGTGGAAGCTATCAGGAATAATTACAGTGGCAGACACGATGAGATCTGCCTAGAGGTAACATTCTAGGTCCAAGAATCTATGCCTTGCATTGCCAACCTGGAAACAAAGAACTCTCCACCAGACTGGGTTAAATGTACACTGCTGTTTTCTGTTTACATAATATATAATGAAATTATCCTTCCAAAGAGAAAGAAGGAGGGAGGGGGGTTGGTTTTGAGGTAGTGGGGAGATGGCTCAGCTGTTAAGAGAGCAGTACACTGCTCCTGCAGAGGACCAGGCTTTGGTTCCCAGTACACGGCAGCTCACAACATTCTGTAGCTGCAGTTCTAGAGGATCTGATAGGCTCCTGCATGCACGTCACACAAGCACACACACATGCCAAAAAAAAAAAAAAAAATCTTAAAAGAGAGATTTGGGGTGTGGTCTTTCCATCTAACATTTCCAGGCTTCTCGAGGACCAGTTTCTAATAGCTGATAAACATACCTTAGCCTGTAAATGCTGAAGGCTGTAAAGGATACTGGACTTTGCATATATCAGAATCTCCTGGTCTGAGTGCAAAAACAAAATTTCTAGCTGACTCCCAGGATTTTCTAGTTGGGTACAGTAGGATGGGCCCAGGACTGTACTTCTGAGTTACCAGTTGCCACTCTTACAGAAAGACAGGTCTGGGAGGAGAGGATGGAGCCTGTCAACTACAAGCTCGTTTTCATTCATTGCTGGTATGTCACCAGTGTGTCCACAGCCTTTGAAGACCAGGAGCCAAAAAAGCAGCCTGTCTCTTCACAGGCACTGCTGCCTCCAGTTCTGGCTCGGTCCTGGTTCCTGTGAGGCCCCACTGCAGAGCCACAATTTGAATGGATGCCTCCTCTTGAGTGCAGGGAACGGCACCTCAGCTTCGCTTTAGGATCGCTGTGTCTGCCCCACCCTCAGCCCGTGTTTCCTTTCTGATGTTTTTGGTCAGTTCCCGTTACAGCCATAGTCCTCATTCACAGGCGTGATCACAGCTTCCCTTTGTGCTCACCTCCATTTTGTTTCCATGGCTCCATCCTAAAGGCCTGAGACATTTCCCATCCCCGAGTGTCTCTTCACCCAGGCTGAGTCCTCTTTCTTTAGTCTTAGCTCATGTCCATCTTCCTCATGGAACTCTTGTCGTGGCTGTGTTAGTGTCCTGTTGCTCCTCTTGGCCATGTGTGAGCTCCCTGGGTCTGTCTTGCTCCCAGTTGGGCCTTCGGTACCCACCATTGTGCCACGTGTGGTTGCTCAGAAGCATATGTCACATGGATTGATTGTAGTCTATAATAGCTCTGAACATTCTCCACAAATTAGACATTTTTGTATTTGTTACTCCTTACATCCAGAATTCCCGACAGGCTCATATTTTTATCAGTTGGTCCTCGGGTGGTGGTGCTTTCGGGGGGTAGAATATGGCTGGGACAATGGGTCACTAAAAGTGAGCCTCGCCTGCTTCGGGTTATGGCCAATGTCTGCAACTTGTGGGTGGCAGTCTGAGCACCTGTTGCCTCGTCACCTGCCGTCATCACCACTGTGACGTGCTGAAATCCTCTGAGACTGCGAGCTGAAATAACTCTTCTCTTTAGATGCTCTGTCTGGTAGCTAGTGTGATACTAGGCTTTTGTGTGTAAGGAAAGGGAGCACCAGGTGAAATCTCACATCCATGTCAGCGGCTCTCCGCTCTGCTGCGCTTGCTGTTTGGTTAGAAGGGGAGAAAGGAGTTGATCTTAGCACATGCGCATTGCTCTGCCTGCAGTGGCAACAGTGCCCAGGTGCCTGCCTTTCTTCTTGAAATCTGCTCAGAGCCCCTTCCTCAGTACGATTGGTTTTCCATTTGACCTGCAGTAATTTTGTGGTAAAATCTTTACATTTCTTTTACACAGCTGGGATTTAACCCAGGGACTTCTGCATGCCAAACACCAGCCTTTAATATTTGCATTCTTAAATTTCAGTTTGCTTGCATAATATATTTTTTTTTTCTTTTTGAGGCAGGCTCTCTCTGTGTATCTCTGGCCATCTTGGGACTCTGTGCAGACCAGGCTGATCTTGAACTCACAGAGCTCCACCTGCCTTTGATACTTCCTGCATGCTCAGATTAAAGCTGTGCAGCACTACACTAATGCATAACCTTTTACTGCAAGCTCTTCCGAGGCTGCAGCAGTTGGCCGTCATTTTTATGGATATGCTCCATATAAACTGACAGGGTACCAGCGATTATAGACATTACTACATAGGGGCGATTAGAAACTTCTGTGACAAGAAATGAAAAAAAAATAACAGTTGGTTTGTTTTCATTTTCTTTGTTAATGCTGAAGATCAAACGGAGGTCCTCTAGATGCCGTGTCAGCACTCTGCCACTGAGTACCCCCTCCCTCCTAGGACACACAATTTTTCATTAGATGCTTAAAATCTTACCTTGATATCTAAAGCTGTCTCTTAGAGTTGAGTCCCTGAACAAATGAAGACCATGAGTGAGTATCATCACTCACTTACTCAAGGAATGACTGATTCTTTCCTCACCTCCAAAGCCTATGATTCTGGATATATTTCACAAATCTTTTTTTTAATATTAAACTACCCAGAAGTATCATTTTCATGGAAAAATGGTCTTCACTGTCTTGAACAGCTAGGTGAGCTCTTCAGTCTTTACTTCGGTGTTCTGCAGGGAGAGATAACAGTCTTCATACTATCTACTCCTGTATTTTAAAATACTGTAATGTCTGGGTAGAAAAGTGTGGGGAGTTTGCTTATTTTTTTTATTTATAGTACTTTAATATTTAAAATGACTATGATGGCAGAAATTCATTATTTCCCTTCTATCAGAGGTTGGCAAGCCTTTTGTTTTTAATGTCTCATAGTAAATGTGTTAGGCTTTGTGGGCCCTGTGGCTTTCCGTTACTTGTAACCTGTGTCATCAGACTGGAATAATCACAGATAATATGTGCACATGTGAGCACAGCAACCTTCCGGTTACACTTGATGAACACTCGATTGATGCTGGGCTTTGTATTTGCTTGTACTAGGAAATAGCAGTTTTCTTTTTATTCCTTTCAACCATTTAAACAGAAAACAGTTCTTAGGTCACAGGCTCGCAGGCAGCACGCCATCATACTCACTGGGGAGCAGTTTTTGACAGATTCTCCACACCCCTTGTGTGACCTTGGTGTGTGGTCTGTTAAGTGCCAGTGTCTTGGACGACAATCACACACAGCATTTTCCTCCTCTCAGAGAAAATGCTTTCCCAAAGTTAATAACAAAAAAATGTATTTGGTAAATGAAACACTTTACCGTTTTCAGGACTACAAGTGGCTTACTGCATTGTTTTGCTTCTGGTGATGCAAAATTCACTAGGGGAGGAGTAAATGACAGTGTTTAAGACAAAGGAAGAAGAAGAATTGCCTTTAAGTCACTGGCTCGTGATGCCATTTGGTTAGCTGCTTTGTTTTCATGTGAGACATTCCACCGTAGTTGCTCTGGACTTTTGGCACTGGCTTTCAGTCAGTGCCCAGCAGAGAGCCACAGCTGCCAAGAGAGGTGCTGCCATCAGAGTTCTTAGAGCAGCACCTTCATATTTGTGTAGAGTTGCCACTTTTTGTCATCCGCATTCATGGCAGCTTGTCCTTGCCAAGTTAACAGGAAGGAAACCTTTTTTTTTTTTTAACTTTCTATATACCTGCATAATATAGAAAACCACTGGACTGGAGAGATGGTTCAGAGGTTAAGAGCATTGGCTGCTCTTCCAAAGGTCCTGAGTGCCAGCAACCACATAATAAGATTTGGTGCCCTCTTCTACAGGCACACGTGCAGGCAGAACATTGTATACAAAACAAATAAATAAATCTTAAAAAAAAAAAAAAAAAGAAACCCACCGATTTAGAGGAGTTAGAGCCAACTGAAAGGATGGGTGAATGGCATTTCCTCAGAGGATGTCATCCTGTTACTAGATCTTTGTGTCTTTTCTGAAAACACTCCTAACTGTAGGTGTGCACCATGAACATAAGTGAAAGTCCCATGTTCCCTAAAAACCTAGTTTTCAGGACTGGTCTTCACTGGGCTATGTGCTGGCCCACTAGCTTTGTTTTCCTTGAAACTAGAAGCTGTGCTCACATTGGCCCTCTGGTTCTGTTAAGCCTCGAGTCCCCAAGTAAATCAGGTAGGAAAGAGGTGACTGTTCTTCACTGACCTTTCAAAAGTGTATTACGATCATGCTATATGAATTTCTGTTTTGTTTTGTTTTGTTTTGTTTTGTTTTGTTTTAAGGGGGAACACCTAGTTTGGAGGTTTTGTGGCTGAGCCAAGAGCCAGAAGCCCAGGCCCAGCGCCTGGACACATTGCTAGCCTGCTTCAACCTCTCCTCCTCCAGAGAAGAGCTTCAGGCAGTGGAAAGCCCATTGCGAGCGCTGTGCTGCCTCCTCATCTACCTCTTTGTCCAGGTAAAGCGGAGCTAACAGTTCTGTGATTCTGTGAGCATGAATAGTCCTGCGTTTCTGGCCTTATCTTCCTGGCGTGCAGTAACTGTTTCCATGGGCCAGTTCCCACAGCCTCTTTCCACAGAACACAATCTTCTAACGTGCTCATGGAGACATTAAGTCAGGACTTTCCACACAAGAAACTAGTGTGTCGACAACTCAGTGGTCATGTATACTTGTTTGCAGGGCTGACTTTTCTCTCAGAACACTGTGGTAATCCTAAGAGGATAAGTGATAAAGTATCGTAGTTTTATATAATGAGCTTAAATTGGCTTTTTAAAATTATTTATTTCATTGTATGTATATGAGTGTTTTGTTCCACCATTCCACGTATGCATGTGTGCCTGGTACCGATGGCGGCCAGAAGAAGGCATTGTGTTCCCTGGAACCAGAGATACGGGTGGTGGTGAGCCACCATGTGGGTGCTGGGAACTGAATCCTGGTCCTCTGCAAGAGCAACAAGTGCTCTTAGACACCGAGCCAGCTCCTAAATTAGCCCTTTTGGTGTGCAGCATGGAATAAAATTGCTTAACATCCATTACATGAAAACTGAATTGAAACTAGTCTTATTTGGTCCAGCCTACTTCACAAGACTTAAGTCTGATTTGGGGAAATCTTGGAAATGCATTTGTACCAGTTACTTTGATTATTGCTACAATAAAACTCCCAGCCAAAGCAACTCAAAGAAAGAAGAGTTATTTCGGCACACAGTTTGAGGGGCTAGCCTTTCAGGACAGGGAGGATATGGTGGCAGGCGCTCACGGCAGCTAAAGCTATTCATGTGGCCGAATGGTAATCGCTGGTGCTCAGCTTACTTTCCCTCTTTGATTCAGCCTGGGACCTTCGACCACAAGATGGTTCCACGCACACTTGGGGTGGCTCTTCCCATTTCAGCTAACCCAGTCTAGAAACGTCCCAACAGACACACCCACAGTGAATTCTAAATCCCATGGAATTATCAATCATGCCTAGTTCCCTGTGAGAAAAGACACAGGGGAGGTGGGCGGTTCCCCTAGGCTGGTGGTTTAAGACCAGCCTGCACACATAACTAATTGTGGGCAAAATTACATACTAGCGAGCCTCAGTCTAAGTAGGGATGGTGGTTTATGGGTTTTTAATCCATACATGTGCTCGGCCTTGTCACAAACCCTATGTTTGCAGGATTTTGTTTTTATTTTTATAACGACGATGCCTCCTTTGGATTAAACACGGAACAGGGTAGAGACAGGTCAGCGTTTCCAATCTTAGTGGCCTGTGTCTTCCCTTGAACACTTTAGTGATAGCTTTGTGCCTGGGTCAAGGTTTGCACAGTGTTTTTCCAGGGGTGTTTCAGGGTTAGGGTGGCATAAAGCCAGGGTTCTTTCTGTTTGTGAGGGCCATTTTATCTGAAGGAGATATGCAAGCATTTTATTTTTCAGGTGCTTTTGGTTAAATTTTATGAATGGATTTGTTATTGTTCTGTTTCTTTCTGCTTGGTTTTTGCTGCCACTGTGCACACCTTCCTGTCAGAAAGAGCTCTTGCATAAGAGTAGAATTGCTTCATAAGTGGTTAACATGTTGATTCTACTCTATTACCAGTGTGGTCGGGATGCTGGTCACTTCTAGCCACTTGTACGCCAGTTTGACACAAGCCGGAGTCATTTGAGAAGAGGGAACCTCAACTGAGAAAATGTCCCCACCAGGTTGGCCTGTGGGCAAGCCTGGGGTGCATTTTCTTGATTGATAAATGACATGGGAGGATCTAGCTCACTATTGCTGATGCCATCCCTGGGTTGTCGGTCTTGGGTGCTATCTGAAAACAGGCAGAGCAAGCCACAGGAAGCAAGCTTGTGAGCATTACCTTCCATGGCTTCTGCTACTTCCTACTGCCAGGTGCTTTGACTTCCTTTGATGATGTGCTGTGATTTGGAAATTTAAGTGATGTACTCCCCACCCCACCCAAACTGCTTCGTGCTGTTTCATCCCAGTACTTGAAAGCTAACTAGGTAGTCGTTTCAGCTGCCTTTCTCATTGCTATGTTCGAATTCCTGGCAGAAGCAACCTCCTAAGTGAGAAAGGCTTTATTTTGGGAGGTACAGTTCATGGTGGGAAGATAGGGAAGCAGGGATGTATCAGACAGCTTGTCACATTCCTTTCACAATCAGGAAGCAAAGAAACGTGAAGCTGATGCTCAGCTCATTCTTGTGTCAGTCCAGGACCTCTGCCCATGGGGTGGTGCCGCCCACAGTCACCATGGGTCTCTCTCCACATGAAGCCTTTCTAGAGGCACCCTCGTACACACACCCAGAAGTGTGTGTTTCCATGGTGACCCAAAGTCCAGTAGAGTTGGCACTGAAGATTTACCATTGTAGTAGCTAAGCACAGGCCATGTCAGCCTCGGGATCTGTGAGGCTGAGTGGACACAGGCACTGTGTCTTTAAGTCTCCTCATCAGTAACTTACTTTAAAGGCCGAGCTAGCCCCTCTCTGTCTCCATTTGGCCTTCTCCCATACTTTTTTGCTTTTTGATTCCACAGAGTGGGAGGGCCCTGGTTTACTTTGTTGGGGTCCAAGGACAAAGGTTACCTCCAGGATCGTTGAAGTTGGATGCTCCTTTAGCCCTGGGCACGCCACCTCAGTCTCTGAGTCACCTGTCTTGTACATTTCACGCAGACCAGGTTGCCCGTTACACTGCTGAGAGCTTTGTGGCCTAGGGTTATGGATGATGAGAGTAGAGGCTGTGGTCTCTCCATCTCCCCATGTCATGTCACTTGTTTAATCACTGTTCATGTGTATGTACGTACACATGTATGTTTTCCTGTGTGTGCACCTCTGTGTGTGTGTGTGTGTGTGTGTGTGTGTGTGTGTGTGTGTGTGTGTGGTAAACATACCTATATTTGGTAACTGAGATACACTTATAAAAAGTGTTGATTGTTTTCAGTAGGCTCACGCTGGCCCTTTTCTGTGCTTTTCAGGTGGACACTCTTTCCCTGGAAGACCTGCATGCATTTATCGCTCAGGCCTTGTGCCTCCAAGGAAAATCAGCCTCTCAGCTTATGAATTTACAGGTATAGTCAGCACAGCACTGGAGGCAACCATGCTGTGCTCACAGCGTCAGCACTGTTTGCAGCCGTTTTCCTGCTGTAGTTGGTACCTCATAGCAAGTGCATAGCAGGCGTGTTTAGTGACCGTGTCTGCACAAATAAAAGGAATGTCGTCCTTGGTCAGCAACTCCGAGATGGCTGTCATTTTGGACGCTGACAGCTGTTATACCCTACTTCTCGGGAGCTCAGGTTGTTCCAGGTCCTGGCCTGGTCATCTCACAGTTTGAAGAGAAGCTTTTGTCAGCCTCTTTGATGTCAGAGTGGCTTCCCTGGTCCATACTCACCCGTCATGTTACTGTGTGCACATCAGGGTGAAGCCAGGCTGCCCTTCCTGTATCCTCACCCATCGTGGCCTGTTCTGCATTCACTTTGTAGTTCTGTTGTCCTGTTTTCTGTGAGGACGTGGAGCCTCAGAGGCCATGTTCAGCAGACTTTAGGTCTGCTGTTCAAAGCTGCTTATGTTGAGCATACAGTAGTTCAGAATTGCTTTAAAACTATATATGTATCTATACACTGTTTTTTAAATCTAGGATTGCGCTATATGTATAAATATCTATGTACATGTTTTTATACTAACATTTTCTCTTTAGCCATAGGTTCCCCAACTAACCATAGATTGAAAATAATTTTTTAACTGCATCTGTCTGGACATGTACAGATGTTTTTTTCTTTTCACTGTTCCCCAAATATCATAGCATAACAACTATTTAGATAATATTTATATTACACTGGGTTTAACTAATCTAGAGGTGACCTGAAGTATATAGGAACATGTATGCAGGGCACGGAATATAAAGGAGGGTGTACACAGGGCATGAAGTGTCTAGCAGCATGTATGCAGGGCATGCGCAAATCCTGAATCATTTTGTTGGGAGGTTCTAGCAGGGGACATGTTTGAGTAAGTTGTTCTCTAAGGTTGAATGCCACTTCAGGAAGGACAGTGGCATGGTGAGGGAGCCAGGGAACAGCCACCTAACCAGCCACTCAGCTGAATCAACCTTGGTAACCAGTGTGGTACAGACATTGTGGCTGGATTGCCCTCAGATTCCTGGGTCATTTTGTATGAGGGGCTTGTTGCTTCTGTGGATTTTTGGTGTCTTGGAACAAATCCTTTGTAGATACTGAAGAACATTAATTTATTTATATATATTATTCATATGTATAAATCAACTACCCGTGAAATCAAGGACTACACATAACTGAGAATAATTTTATAAATAAAGGTAATTTCTTACAGTTTAGAAAAGCTATCACCTCTCGTTGGAAGTGTGCAAAGGAGAGTCCTGTTCCTGTGACACAGATGTCTGCTGCTACTTGGCCCTAAGGATATGCAGGAGAACTGAGCTCTTTGCCTGGTTATAACTGCACCACCTCAGAATGCAGACCAGGTGTTCAGGTCTTCTTTTCACAGGTGTAACTCAGTGTGGACTTCCAACTTATACTCCCGTAGGACATACCTGCTTCTGGTACTTTAAACAGAACACATGATCCATGACAAATAATTGATGCAGCCCCTCTGAAAATATTAACAAAGATACATTTGGAATTTACCCTAAGGTGGTATCTATTCTTGATGGTGAGGTGTAGTTCATAGGTACAACAGAAAGATGGCTGTTTCCTAATCTAGTCTGTTAGTCTTCTGGGATTATTTATTCCTTGTGTCCTCTTTTGTGTAGTTAACTTCTTGAGACTAGTTTTTCTTCTAGTGCTTTCTATAAACCTAGATAGTAGATAGAAATTGCTTAAGTTTGATTTATCATAGAATGTTTTTCTTTCTCTGCCGATTGTGTTGATAGTTTTGCTGTATATAGTAGTCCCGGCTGGTATCTGTTGTATCTCGGAGTTTGTAGGACAGCCCATCCAGGCTCTTTTGGCTTCGAGAGCTTCCATTGAACAGTCAGATGTTTTTCTAATGGGCTTGCCTTTATATATGACTTGGTCTTTTTACCTTGTAGGTTTTGATGTCTTTTCTTTGTTCAGTACATATAATCTTTTGATTATTTTATCATGGGGAATTTCTTTCTTTTCTGGTCCTATCTATTTGGTGTTTTCTTTGCTTCTTGTACCTTTATAGGCATCTTTTCCTTTAGATTGGGGAAATTTTCTTTTATGAGTTTTGTTAAAAGTATTTCTGTGCCTTTGACTTGGGTTTCTTCTCCTTCTTTTGTAACTGTCATTCATAGGTTTGGTCTGTTCCTAGTGTCCAGATTTCCTGGATGTTTGTGTCTGAATTTTGTTAGATTTAGAATTTTACTTGACTGAGCTATCCATTTCCTCTAAGTGGCTTTTAAGTTCATATGTGATGGTGAGGCTTACCTATGAGGTTTTTGTTTGGCATCCTAACTTTTTCATTTCTGGTTTTATTTCAAGTTGAATTTTCTTTAGTGATTCTATTTCTTTGTTAAAATCTACTTTCATATATTTTGTTCAGCTGCTTGTTTCTGTTTTTATTCAGGCATTTATTTATATTCTCTTTATGGACTTTATATTTATAATCACTATTTTGAAGTTCTTGTTCTGTGCTTGAGCTAAATGGCTTTTCTCGGGGCCTATTACAATAGGATTTCTGCCTTCTGTAGGAGGCATACTGTCTTCGCTATTCATGTTTGTGTTTTGTTGAGACCTAGGCATTTGGAGTTATAATGTTTGGAGTTTTTCTTGCTGTAAGCATCTTGTCTAGTCTTTGCTGCTGCGTGGGTATTCCATTCTTCGGTGGTTGTTGCTCACTTTGGATCCTAGTCAGGTGTAGTGGCTGCGGGACTCCTTGTAGAGAGCGTTTCTAGAGGTTAGAGGGTGTTACAGAGGATGGAGATGGGCTAGAAGGAAAGGCTGAACAGGCTGTGGGAAAGAACTAGAGGGACCCTAGGTCCGTGCCAAGAGGTAGAGTCCTCAGGGAGTGAAGGTGGGCTGAGAGGAGGGGCTCCTACTTCAGCAGGACAGACTGGAATAGGGGACAGGTAGGATAATAAAGGTTGCCTGCTGGGCCCCAAGATTAGTGTGGCCACTGGAGGTTCCTGGTAGAAGACTGTTCCATGGGTCTGGGAGCATCATAAAAGAGTAGGGATGGGCTATAAGGAAGATTGAAAGAGGCATTGGGAGAAATCTAGGGGGATCCTGGGTCTACACCAAGGAGCAGAGTTCATACCTTGATATTCTGCTTCCATGTGATTCATTCTGTTGGCGAGACTTTCCACTGGACTTTCATTCTCTTTTTACGTTATGGATTGGCTTCCTTATTCCATTCTGCAGCCTGCTTGTGTTCTCATAGAAAATATTAGAGTCCTCCTTATCATGTTTACCATATTTATAATCATTCTCTTTAATCATCAGAATTTTATCAAAATAACATTAGTTATGAGTCATTAGTATGCAGTTGATAATTTCTGGGGGCGATGAGCTGCCTTTGTTTTTCATATTACTTGTGTTTTTGCACTGAGTTTTGCCCAGCTGCAGTTAGATTATAGGGTAAAGATTTGTTGGTTGTGTTCTTTTAATTCAGCTTGCCTCTCTTCTTTAAGTAGTCATGTTTGCAGTGTTTGGAAGAGATGAGGTTATCATATAATTATGATGTTTTCATCTGTTAGACTGTGGTTCTAGGCACCAGGCTCTGTCTGCCCTCTGCCCTGTGTGTTGGGTCTTGTCTGCAGCTCTGGTAATTAAGCTACTCCAGTAATGGAGTTCAAGTGACTGCAGAGCAAACACTTGTTGAATTGGGATTTGTTTAGAAAGTATATGGATGCCTAGTATGATGAATAATAACAATGCTAGTATGAATGCAAAGTAGAAAAGAAGAGGTAAACAATAATGGTGAAACTAGCAATAGGCATTAGGTTGTTCTATGGGAAGCAGAAGAGGGGGCATACGAAGGACTGTTAATAATTAAGGCAAAGGGGAAGATGGATAGATATGTGGGGGTTTGAATTAATTGTAGACTAAAAAGATAAAGATACGTACTTCGTGGTTGTCAGTCACTCTGAGCTTTGGGAACTACACTAAGTGGGAGAGGTATCGGGAAAGCGAAAGGAAGATTTGAAAGAAAGGAAAGAGAGAGAAAGGGGAACAGAAGAGTGTGTGATGTGAACAGTAGGGGACAGTGTTGGCCTGTTACAGTGCCTTCCTGTGCTATGTAGGTAAGCGATAGCTGTAGCGGGGAAGGAGAGCTGGGTGGACGTGAAAGGAAATGTGGGCACGGGCGTCAATGTTGATTTCTTCTCTTTGGCTGGCCTGCTGCTTTGTTATCTTGGTCCTGGATTAGGTTGTGTTCCCTTTTACTTTTAAAGTCCCATTTTCCCCCACTGCACACTTCCAGCTCCCGTGTGCATAGAGTTTTCTGAACTATTTTGTGGGCTGTGGAGAGCTGCAGTAAGCTCGGTTCAGCTGAAATTGCTGCCCTCCCACAGAACTGGGAGGTGTTAGTGGCTGTGCAGTACCCAAAGCCCTGTGAGAATCTGTGTCTAGCTTGTTTTTCCTGGTGGTAGTCACTAGGAACCCCTTATGTGAAATTCCTACCACTACTGTTTTTTAGATTTCCTGTTCAGAATCTTTTAGCCCACTTTGCTTTGGGGAAATGCTGCTTTGGAAGGGATGGCTGTTGATTGGCAGCAGCAAATCCATTCATGCTATCCCATGGGTCCCCATGGTAGAAGAGGCTTGTTGAGGTGTTGATCAAATCTATTTGAGGACTTGGAAAAGCAGCAGATGGAGTGATAAAATATTCATATTCCCTTTAATTCCCAATCAGCAACTGAGTCCAACATGGCTTCTTTTCTACATCTTATCCAGAAGTCCTCTAAAAGGAAGGTCTTGGGGGAATTGCAAAACCAAAACCAAACAGGATGATAGACCTATATATAAGATTCAATTACATTTCTATATATTATCAGTGAACACACAGAAGCTGAACTATGAAAGCAATGCCATTCATAATTGTTTTCCTAAATTGAATTTCCTAGGTACAAATTAAA